CCTTCTAAACACCACAGGTGTCTTCTTCAAAACAAATGAGATCAATCCTCTCCAGTTTGCTACACAAACTACCACATAATGTTATGTAATGCAGTCACGGGGGTGATATTCCATTGTATTAACAGGTCCCAGGCATACTCAAAGGAAGGTTATTAAATAAAGAGACAGAGGGCAGGAACTTAAGGCTACTGCAAATTCTACTCACTACATTCAGTTTTGCTTCCTGCTCATGAGAAAACTTTTAAAAAAACACACACACACCCCAAGAATTTAACGGTTAGTGGCTGGGAAGATTGAAAATCCTGAAACAGTACAGCTAAATCATTCTCTAGTTTCGTATGTTATTTGACATTACTAACATCACCTACCTCACTGAGAAAGGTACATTAAATAAGATGATACATATAAAGGTCTTTTAAGTACTGTGACTGGCAGGGAAAATAACTGTCATAGCAATGACAGCGAGTCTATACTATATTGTGCCTTGCAGCAGTATTACAGAGTTTCCAGTTTTGATCTTAGGAGAAAGACAGTATATATTCTTTTTATGTTTCTAGAGAGTCCTTGGAAACTTAAGAGCAAGGTCTTTGTGATGATTTTATGCCTTGATACTGTTACTGATGTCCTCACTACTGCCTGCTCCTTAAAGGCTCCTCTCAGAGCAGGAACTCAGCAACTCCACATGGGATTCCGACGACCTCCCAAATGATCCAGAGAGCACTAAGCCTCATGCACACTGCCGCCTGCCCCCATTTCTGTTACCCTAGAACACTTCCTATGTGGTTCTGAGTATGGCATTCATATATATGCTCTCCCGAACACACCTGCCGGGTAGGGGCCAGTCAGTTTTCATACTCTTCTACCCTAGGTTTCTAACATACTTGAATATTGGCTTTGTTAGATATGTGTTGTCACCCATCTTCCTCATCTCATTCTCGTAAAACCAGTGATGAATGATCTCACAAAGAAGACAGTTCCACTGGGTTTGTGCCTTTTAATTAAGACCTAGAATCGAGACAGAAAAAAATGGGAGCAATGCAAGAAGAGGGGGCTTGGTGTCACCTTGATGTCAAGAGAAGCTGGATTCTGTGTAATGGAATTGGGGTCAAAATAAGGTTTTGCTTAATACTAATATTAATACAAAATGTTGTCTTAGTTCAGGATTCTTACTAATTGTTCAGTGGGCAGACACTATGAAACTTATTCACCAGTGTGAGAGAAGCCGTGATCTCTGCTCTTCATAAATCCCAGAAGATACCTCCAGGTAATGTGGCTGCCACTAAACAAAGGCTTTGGAACATGTAAATAAATAGCAGAAAGGAGATTACTGCAATCACCAATATGATAAAAATAACTAAGATACTCTGAAATTTTCACACCAGGAGGAACAACTCCAGAATAGCTTCATGATCAGATTTGATGAAATGTGAAAATCCTCATCCAATGAAGTCCAAGGTAGCCTGAGACCTAAAGCAAGAGTCTCAATCTGTAGGGTCAATGTTTGAGCTGCATATTAGCATATAGAAGTATACATAGCAACTTTGTCTCTATATGTACCTAGCATCAATTACTATCTTTCATGTACCTTAACTGATTTATAACAAAGTCTTAACAATTTTATATCTTAGGTCTGAATGGAAGTTTGAGATAGCAAAGAAGAAAAGCAGGAGAAAATAAGTTAAATCTACATTTATAAGAACTCATCTTACAGTATGTGATTCATTTCAATAGTAAAACTCATCTGAGTTTTTGCCCCCAATTTATCACTTCTCCCACGTGCTGTGGTGCTGTTTGCAAGATACCACTCAAAGAACAGATACAGTGTTGGGCAGAAGGAGTGGTCTTTTTCTATTTAGGGACCAAACTAGTTGGAAGTGGTGAATGGAAATGAATATGGGTAGAAACTTAGTTGATTTATGCTCAGAGGATGGGATTCCTCTTCAGCTTTAGGTTCCCTTGATGTGTACAAACCAACAGGAAGAGACCAATGGAAAGGTTCTTCAAGATGCATGCATTTCTTAGAGTTTTTTATTTTGTTTCTGAGACGAGCCCATGTCTTCCTGAACCAATATTTGTACCTTAGAGGAAATAACTGATTACTCCTTTCTCTCTCACCAGTGACTGAGAGACACTCACAACTGCTTGCTTTCAATTCAGAATTTTCCATAATCTATAATGGTGCTCACTTGTTGGCGCTCTCCAACTCAGCATTACTCACTCATTCACTGTCTATGGTGGTTTTAATCATCCAAATTCCCCAGCTTTTTCTTGTTGTTTACAGTCAGGTGGCTTTTCCCTCAGAGATCTACCTATCTAACATAACTATATCCCAGTTGTATAAATAATCATTAGATATTATTGCCAACATAATTTTCTATTGCTTTTGCAAGCATGAGTAAAAATTTTTATATTTGCTGCTTACTACTGCCCCTTTTGTAGATTAACTTTTTTAGAATCTTTATTCATTGCTTTTTTGTGGTAATAGTCTTTATCTTATTGACTTATCTGAAGTTTTACAAATTGAAAACATTAATTTGTTTTTTATTGTAAGGTAAAATGTACTTCGAAGTTTATCACCACGTAAATACTTTTTTAAGTTTGCATAGATATTTTTACTGTTCTAGGAAATTTTATAAATTGATTCTAGTATGTTTTCTGATATTGGTATTTTGCTTAGCGAAATGTTCTTGGTCAAGTGCCTCATGCCTGTAATCCCAGTACATTTGGAGCCAAGGCAGGTGGATCACTTGGGCTTCAGGAGTTGGAGACCAGCATGGGCAACATGGTGAAACCCTGGCCCCCAAGTAAAAACTACACAAATTAACCAAGTATGGTGGTGGGTGCCTGTAGTCCCAGCTAATGCCAGGAGGCTGAGGAGGATCGCTTGAGCCTGAGGCCAAGGCCGCAGTGAGTTGAGGCATACCACAGCACTCCAGCCTGCACAACAGAGTCAGACCCTGTCAAAATAAAAATTAAAAAAAAAAAATGGAGACCATTTTCTTTATACACAAGTTTATCAGTATTCACTTACGTAATATTTAATGTTTTAAGTTTTTTCCTCACTATTTAAATCTTTATCATCTAAAATTAATTTATTTATATGTGACATAAGGATGTTTTATTTTCACATAATTTGGGATTATAGCTGTAATTACGTCATTAACTGAAATTTATTTTTAAGGAATTTGGTTTAAGTTCCCAATTATTTTGTGTATTCTTCTTTATACTTGTATATTAACCTCTAGTTTTATTACATTATCATCAAAGAAAATGAGTGGCAAAATTTTTATTTCAAAATGTAATCACTTTAGTCTCATGTATTATTTTTATGATTATAGCTTCTGTTTGCTTTTCTTAAGAATATGTTTTTAATTACTTTTTTCCAAGAGGGTTTGCACTCCTATAAAATCTCACATAAATAAGTGTCAGACAGTCCACTACATTCATATTCTATCTACTATAATTAGCCTTTATGTGTCTAGTATGACACAGGTCAAGACTAATTTTTTATTCTGAATACTCAGATACCTGAACATAATTTATTGAAGAAGGCAATCTTGCTTTATTGCTCGGCAGCATTATCTTCACATACAAACAAGGATCAGTTCATTTCTGTATGCTGTATTGAGTTACAATTTTCTATTTGTCTAACCTCGTACAATATGTAAAAAAAAAAAACCCTGAGTTATCATATTTTGTCACAAGTTTTGATAACTAAAGCACACCTTCAGGTTAAGTATGTCTTCAAGGCATAGTATTAATTATTTTGGGACTTATTCAATCCACACTTTAGATCCACATGTCTCATTGCTGTAAAATCAAATGCTGGGATTTTACTTGGAATAGAATTGAACGTATAGATCTATTTGAATAGAATTGAATTTTAAAATATGAGTCTCCATGTGCCCATTGTAATCTTAAATTCGTTCAGAAAAATGTTATATTTATCTGAAAATATTTTATTTCTATTGTCGTGGTTCTACACATGTTACTTAAAATTAAATTCAGCTCTGGGTTTCTCATCCTTAGCATTATCAAGATTTTACTAAGGATAGGCTGTTGTGAGGGTCTCTCCTGTGTATTGTGGAATGTTTAACTCCCCTGACTCCTAGTCACTAGAGACAGCGCCTGTGACAAGCAAGAATATTTCAGACATTGCCGAACTGAGGACAAAACAGCCCCAAGTGATCTAGATATTTAAGAGATTTAATGTTTTATATTGAATCTTAACAAATAAAAATGGGTGTTGTGAGGCGCGCAGAACTATTGTAAATGTAGTTGTAGATCACATACTTATCATTGCTGGATGATAATCTATTCTGTGAACACACAATTTCTATTTGATTCATTGATAATATTTAAATATTAATAGCTTGCTATTTTTGCCCATTAAAAATAGTGTTTATGAAATGTTTTCAGATACATACATGTAAATAGACAGATAAGAATATGCATACAAATATGTGAAAACCTGTATGTTAAATATGCTAAATGTTACATACTTTCTTTTATATACATCGTTTGATTTGTATATACAAATACAAATATACAAATACATTAAAACCAAAAAGAAATTTGAACAGCAATACAATTAGAAAAATGATCAATATTTGTTGCTATTTTGAACAATGTCTCCATAATGGTAAATTGTTAAGTTTGTGTGCACAAGAAATCAAACAAAACACAATAAAGCTTTTTCAAGTTGTAAAGAATGACTTAACCATCTATCCTGGAGATTTGATTAAAATATTTTTTTAAATTAATATGAACTCATTAATGAGAAATGAATCAATAAATCAAAGAATATAAGCATATTCTCATAAATACAAGTCTAGCTGTGATGTTAAAACTCTCTTAGAAAATTTGTGGAAGAATTATAACTGTAAAAAGGTGTTTTGAATAATGTTTAACACTGAGAACTATACATATAATCAGTTTCATGGAATAACTAAATTATATTACTATTTTAAAAACAAACTAGTTTATCTACTTCCCAGTATCTATTCTTCCTGAGAATATGCTACTTTGTCTCTCAGTTTCAACACAGCTTTCTTCACTTCCTTGTTTCTCAGGGTGTACACTACAGGGTTGAGAAGTGGTGTTAGCATTGCGTAGAAAACGGCCACAACTCCATCCATGATGTCCCTGGAACCTGGTCTCAGGTAAATGACAACACAGGGAACAAAAAGCAAAAGGACCACGATACAGTGGGAGGCACAGGTTCTGTAAGGCCTGCGCCTCCCCTCTGAGGTGTGGATCCCAGATGGAAAACAGATGTACTGACACGCAGGGACAGCACTGTCAGGAGGAAGCAGCTCTGAGGCCACTACTCCCAATGTTCACAAAGATGACCATCTCGTTGACTGAGGTGTCTGCACAGGCCAGTTTCAGGATGGGTGGTGCGTCACAGAAGTACAGTGCTGGATCCAGTTAGGGTCCACAGTAGGGCAAATGGAAAGTCAATATGGTCTGGACAGCAGAGTGCAGAGAGCCACTGAGCCAAGTGCCGATGGCCAGGAGGGCACACCTGCTCCCATTCATCATGCGGGTGTACCTGAGCGGGTAACTGATGGCTGGCCAGGCAGCGATCATAGACATGACTGCAGTAGAGGAAACACTGTGCTCCCAGAAGTGGAAAAAGCAGAGTTGAGCCACGCAGCTGTGAAGGAGATAGTCCTCCCGCTTGGAGACACCAAGGTCACTTTCAGTATTTGGGCACCGTGACAGGAGAACCACATGTCAACAATGACAGGTTGGTGAGGAAGGAGTACATGGGGGTGTGGAGGTGGAATCCGCCCTGATCACTCAAAGCAGGATGAGGAGGTTCCCAGCACAGTGAGCACATAAACCACCAGGAAGATTCCAAAGAGTGGGGCGTCCAGCGCTGGGGCATGGGGAAGGCTCATGAGGATGAACTCAGTCACGAGGCTGGTGTTAGACATTTCTCCTCACCCTTGGTCTCTCACCCTTTGGGGATATAAAGAGCATCCAGGCATTTTACCAATTAACTGATAACTTATAGAATCCATTCTGTGAACACCAGGTAGATAATTTGGAGTTTTCCTGGACTTTTGCTTTTTACAACGCTTCTCCTATAAAGCTGAACAGTTGATTTCCTAGTTTCTCTCTCTCTCTCTCTCTCTTTCTTGTGTGTGTGTGTGTCACATATATGTCACACAGAGAGAGAGACACATGCAGAATAAATTAGAAGAAACACACTGTCTAGATTTCAATGGGTTTATAAACACAAACTTACTGGCATAAAACATGCAAATTTATTGTCTCACCCTCTCTGTGGGTCAGGGTCAGGTCAGCTGGGTTCCCTGTTCAGGGTCTCACCAGGTTTTAATCAACGCATCACCAGGGCTGCAATCTCATCTGAGTCTGGGGATCATCTTCTGTCCCTTAAGGTTGTGCATGATTCAATTCCTTGTAGTTTTAGGACTGGAGGTCCTGGGGTTTTCTGCTGTTTGTTGGCAGGACATATCACTCTCATTATAGTACTGCACTGAACCCAGAAAGTCCTAGCTACTTGGTCTTTAGACCACGACAGGTTACTTCTTTGAAACCAACAAGATAAATTTCTCCATCTGCTATAACAAAATGTTATATAAATGTTATGTAATGCAGTCACAAGATATTTCATCTTATTAACAGGTCCTAGTGCATACTCAAAAGGTTATTAACAGAAAGTGTATACCAGTTGGCAGACCCAAAGGCTGCTAATTCTAACACCACATTCATTTTTTATTGTCACTCATAGGAAAACTCAAAACAAAAACAAAAAAACACACCAAGAATTTAATTATTAGTGGGCAAGGAATATTTGAAAATCTGAAGGTATAAGAAATCATTTTCTTAGTTTTCTTATGTTATTTGGCATTACTAACATCACCTGCCTCACTGAGACATTATGTTTACTTAAATAAGATGATACATTTGAAGCACGAAGTACTGTGACTGGCAGGTAATAACTGCTCAGTAAATGACAGTGAGTCTTAGCACATTGTGCCTTGCAGCAGTATTACAGAATTGCTGTTTTTGATCTTAGAGAGAAAGAGAGTACATATATTCTTCTAGTGTTTTCAGAGCATCCTTCTGAATCTAAGAGCGAGGTCTTTTTGTACTATCGTATGCCTGATATTGTTACTGATGTCCTCACTGCTGCCTGCTTTTGAAGGGCTTCTCCTAGGTCTCTCAGAGCAGGTAAGAATCTCAGCATAACTCTGTAGTGGGATTCCCACAACCTCCCACCTCCCAAATGATCCAGAGAGCACCAAGCTTCATACATGACTTTCCCCATCCCCATTTCTGTTACCCTAGAACACTTCCTGTGTGGTTCTGAGAACATGGCATTCATATGTGCTCTCCCAAACACAATCTACTGGGTAGGTGCCAGCTGTCTTGCGTACTCCTCCTACCCTAGGTTTCTAAATATATTCCAACATTAACTTTGTCAGATATCACATGTTGGCCCCCCACCATCTTCCTCTACTCCTCATTCTCACAAATCCAGGTAATGAATGATCTCACAAAAGAAGACCATTCCATCAAGTCTGTGTCTCTTAATTAAGACCTAGAACATGAGACAGGAAAAAATGGGACCAATGCAAGAAGAGGGGCCTACGTCACCTTGATGTTAAGAGAAGCTGGGATTCTGTATAATGGAAATTGAGGCAGAAGTAAAATTTTTTACTTCATACAAAATGTTGTATTAGTTCAGGATTCTTACTGATTGGTCAGTAGGAGAACACTATGAAACTTGTTCATCAATATGAGAGAAACTATAGTCTCTGCTCTTCTCAAAGCCCAGAGGAAATACCTCCAGGGAATGTGGCTTAAGCTACATTAAAAAATATGTAAATAAATAGCAGAAAGGAGGCTCCTGTAATCACCAGCATGCATATCAGAACTTTTAAAATGGAACCAGCATTACTTTGAAATTTCTACTGTACCAAGAGGACCAATCCGCAGCGGAGCTTCATGATCGGTTTTGATGGAATGTGAAAATGCTCATCCCATGAAGTCTAACGTAGCCTGAGATCTAAAGCAAGAGTTTCAATCCACAGGGTCAATGTTTGACTTGAATATTGGTGTATGGTAGTATATGTAGTGACTTTGTCTCTATCCATCTCTCTATCTAACTATCTAACTGATTTTATAACAAAGTCTTAACAATTCTCTAATCGTCTGAATGGAAGTTTGAGATAAAAGAGGGAAAGCGAGAAAATAAGTTAAATCTACATTTCTAAGAACTCACCTTATAGTATGTGATTCATTTCAATAGTAAAACTCATCTGAGTTTTTGCCCCAGTTTGTCACTTTCCACATGCTGTGTACAGGTGCCAAGTTTGCAAGATACCACTCAAAGAACAGATACATGGTGTTAAGAAAGAGTGGTCCCTTTCTATTCAAGGACCAAACTAGTGGAAGTGCAGGGAATGCAAATGAACATGGGTAGGAACTTAACTTGATTTATATCTCAGAAGATGGAATTGCTTTTGGGATTTTGAGTTCCCTTGATGAGCACAAAACAACAGGAAGAGACCGATGGAAAGTTCTTCAGAAGCATGCATGCATTTCCTTAGTGTTTCTTATTTGAACCCTCCTGAGAAGAGCCCAGCGTCTTTCTGGAACCCATATTTATACATATGAAGAAAGAAGGAGGACTGACTTATCCTTTTCCCTCACCAGTAATTGGGAGACACTCCCAACTGCTCACTCTCAACTCAAAATTTTCCATGATACATAATGGTCCTGGAAAATTTGTTGGTGCTCTCCAGCTCAGCCTCACCGTCTCATTCACCATCTTTGTATGGTGGTTCAAAAGATCCGAATTCCTAAACTTTTTTCTGTTGTTTACAGTTCCAGGGTGGCTTTTCCCCAGAGATCTACCTACCTAACATAATTATATCTCAGTTGTGTAGTAATCATCAGATATTATAGCTGTCATAATTTTCATTGCTTTTACAAGCCTGAATAAACACTTTTGATATTTCATGTGTACATCTCCTTTTGAAGATTAACTTTTTAGAATCTTTATTTGTTGCTTTTTTTGTGGTAATAGTTTTTATCTTATTGATTTATCTGAAGTTTTACAAATTGGAAACATTAATTTGTGTTTCACTGTCAAGTAAATTGTACTTTCAAATTTATCACTATTTAAATATTTTAAAATTTGTATAGATATGTTTACTGTTCTAGGAAATTTTATAAATTGATTTACTATGTTTTCTGATGTCAGTATTTTAATAGGATTTTATTGGCCAATCTTGGTGGCTCACACCTATAATCCCAGCACTTTGGGAGGCCAAGGCAGGCAGATCACTTGAGCCCGGGAGTTGGAGACCAACCTGGGCTCCAACATGGTGAAACCCTGTCTCTACAAAAAATACAAAAATTAGCTAGGCACGGTGGTGAGTGACTGTAGACCCAGCTACTCAGGAGGCTGAGGTGGGAGGATCACTTGAGCCTAGGAGACCAAGGTTACAGTGAGCCGAGATGGTGCTACAGCACTCCAGCCTGAGCAACAGAGCCAGACCCTATCTCAAAAACAAACAAACAAACAAACAAACAAAAAACAAAACCATTGTCTTGCACACAAGTTTATCAGTTTTCACTTATGTAACATTTAGTGCTTTAAGGTTTCTTTCCTTCATTTAAATCTTTACTTCATCTGAAATTAATTTTACTTTATGGGTGACATAAGGATGTTTTTATTTTCTATATAATTTGAGAATGTAGTTGTAATTACCTCATTAACTGAAGTGGGTTTCTTCTTAAAAAATTAGGTTTACGTTCCCAATTATTTTTGTATTCTCTGTTACACTTTGCTTATTAACCTCTAGTTTTATTGTATTATCAACACAGAAAATGAGTGGCAAAATTTCTATTTTAAAATGTAATGACTTTAGTCTCATGTATTATTTTTATGGTTAGCTTCCTCTGTTTGTTTATTTTATTTAATTTTTTTTTGCAAAAAATGCACATCATCACTGGTCATTAGAGAAATGCAAATCAAAACCACAATGAGATACCATCTCATGCCAGCTAGAATGGCAATCATTAAAAAGTCCGGAAACAACAGATGCTGGAGAGGATGTGGAGAAATAGGAATGCTTTTACAGTTGGTGGGAGTGTAAATTAGTTCAACCATTGTGGAAGACAGTGTGGTGATTCCTCAAGGATCTAGAACTGGAAATATCATTTGACCCAGCAATCCCATTACTGGGTATATACCCAAAGGATTATAAATGATGCCACTATAAAGACACATGCACATGTATGTTTATTGCAGCATTGTTCACAATAGTAAAGACTTGGAACCAACCCAAATTTCCATCAATGATAGACTGGATAAAGAAAATGTGGCACATATACATCATGGAATACTATGCAGCCATAAAAAAGGATGAGTTGATGTTCTTTGTAGGGACATGGATGAAACTGGAAACTATCATCCTCAGCAAAGTAACACAAGAAGAGAAAACCAAACACCGCATGTTCTCACTCATAAGTGGGAGTTGAACAATGAGAACATACGGACACAGGGAGGGGAACATCACACACTGGGGCCTTTGGGAGTGGAGGGCTGGGGGAGGGATGGCATTAGGAGAAATACCTAATGTAACCAACAAGTTGATGGGTGCAGCAAACCAACACGGCACATGTATACCCATGTAACAAACCTGCACGTTGTGCACATGTACACCAGAACTTAAAGTACAACAATAAAAAAAAATTTAAAATACATTTTTAAATTAATTTTTTTCCAAGAAGGTTTTACATTACTAAAAAGTCTCTTACCTAAACAGTTCACCACATTTATATCTCCTATCTACTATAATTGAGTTTTTTATGTGTATAGTATGAAATAGGATCAAGACTAATTTTTTTATTCTGAATACCCAGATACCCCAAAATAATTTATTGAAGAAGCAAT